AAGACAAGTTAAAGTAATTAAACTAAGTATTTACTTACTAACTTAAATAGTACTATTGTTCTATCTAGTACTAATTTTAAATTAAGTAGGTCTGACAATAATACATATATATATATATATATATATATATATATATAACCTATTGTGATATTTAAACCAAGAAGGAGAATTTTTCTTACATACCACAGCTGAAAAAATATTACTGTTATAACTTACATTTGTTTTTTTATGGGAGGGGATATACATGTAAAGCTACAGAAATTATTTGTGCTAGATGTCCTAATTTTGAACTGATAGAGAAAAGTTAGCTAGTGAACAACAGACACCACCAACGTTTAGGCTACTCTAATCAAATAGTAGGTTTTGACCATTTCTCTAATAAGGAATCCACTGTCCCACGGTGCAGAGAAGGATTTTGTGGCATCAAGACATGAAACACACACTTTTGGACTCACAATCACTAACCACTAGACCACATCTGGCCCTATAACTGTTTCATCAGTTATGACCAATATCAAAATTTTACAAAAATAAACAAACTATTATTTAAAACTAATATGTCAGAAATAACCATACATCAAACTGAGTAAAACAAACAGAAACCAAATAAAACATTCAAAGAGACAAAAATAGAATTAATTATAAATATACAAAGATTATATTAATTTATGAAAATATTGAAATTACTGATTAAATGCATCACTGACAGTTCATACTGTAACAGCAAATGTTTTTAGGCTATGTTCACTGAAATTTAAAGAGACTTAAAATCAAATTTGTTTAAAATCAAATCAGTAAATATTTATTATAACTTAAATAAAACTGTATTTTTCATTGAAATTTCTTTTTCTGTTTCTAGTTTATACTACTTCGTAAGAAAATCAGTCAATATTAATACACTTATAAGGGAAATTAAATAATCACATTTGCAGATTTTAGTTTTATAAAGGTTTGATGTACTAGATCTTTTTTCCCCTAAATGTGGTATAAAACTCAATAAGTAATTTAATTGTCAAAACAAATGTTCAATGAACAAAATACTGCTAAATGTTTTCAACACAAGTTCCAGCAACTTAATGTATGAATTAATTCCAACTCAAAGATTCACGAGTATGTTAAAACACAATTAAGAACTGAGATACACTTAACTGATAATATCTTAAACCAAAACTTTACTGACCTTTAAAGGTGCTGAAGTTTGCTCCATGTTCAACCTGGTGTCTAACTGAGGAGTTGAAACAGGTGTATTCTGACCTTTGAAGTCCAAATAAGACAAACTAAATTACTTCTTGATAACAGAATAACAATAACATTTTTAATAAAATCAATATAATACAACTTTTAACCTTCTTTAAATATTTTTCTGTGAAGTTCTGTTATAAACAGGCTTACTTGTGTTCACATGCACTTCATAATGTTATCCAATGATTTTCTTCAGCCATCCACTTTTACTCAAGCACACCATATAAATTATTTTCACTTACTTCCAGACGTAGCAGCTGCTCCATGGGACAAGCGAGGTTCAGATCTAGATGACACGAGCCGAGGACCCAAGCCTTCACCTAACAAAAACTCCCAGTCTTCCTGGGAATTCAGAATCTCTCTTAACTGCTGGATTTTCTCACCAGTCAGGCACATCTTAGCCTCAAGTTCTGCCTGTTTTTCTGCAAGTCTTCGTTCCTATAAAATGGCATTGAAGATATAGATAGATTAAATAACTAAAAAAATAATAAAAAATCAACTTATTCCACTGAAGATATCAGACGGATTTAACAACTCAATAAAAAATATCTAAAAAAAACTGATGCTTGCAATAATCACAAGGATTTAATTGTATGTGGAATGAAATAGGGCATTTACAACTTATTCCTTATTGTAGAGGAAAAAACAAATTTGATCTTAACAAATCATGTTCTTATTAAATGCCTAATGGTTATTCAAAATAAAATCATAAACTCAAATAATGTCGCAAATCCATATTTACAAAAATCATACACAAATGATAATTTTATGAAATATCTAAAAAGCCAGTTTATATTTCTTAAACCATTCACAACTACTACAGACCAAATACATTCCATGGAAATAAAATATAAAGTTCACAGTATATCATGAAGTATATTTCCCAATGAATTGTTTGTTTGTTTTTGTAAATAAACTCGTAGTAGTAAGAGTTTTCAATCATTATTGAGCAAATATCATACAATAAAAGTTACCAGATGCAAATACTTCACTAACCTAATAAAAGCAAGTTCAAAACTAACTCAGGAAACATTATAATTATCCTAGAGTAATGAATGTGTATATCAAACAATTTTGGACAGTTGTTAGATTAAATATAACATTATCCTTATTCGTGCTGTACAGAGATAACAATTGTATATATATATATATATATATATATATAAATCACTGAATACACTTAAACTGTTGTGGTGTAATTATTTTACACCTATGAATTTCTACCATAATTCTCCTCATCCTTCCTCGTTCTGTAACTAGCCGATCCTCCATCTGTTCACGGATTTTCTGTTTCTCTTGCTCTCCTTGACTCAGCAACATTTTCTTTTCATCCAACTATAGTATAAGAACAAATATCTATGTATGCCTATGCTTTGAGACTTTATTTCACAATTTTGATCCCATTTTTCACAAGATGATTATTGTAAATGCATGTTATGATCGTTTTGAAACACTGGGAATGCATCATCACAGAAAAAGAAAAAACATATGAATAAATTTATAACTTACAACATTATATGAAAACAGTAACTATGGAAATTAAAAACTACTACCTCAACATAAATGCTAACATTAAAACAACATATTGCAGTATTTTAAGCTATATACACCTTACATCTCCTTTATAACCACACAGCTTCTTAGAAATCAGAAATGTTCCAAAATGACAACTACAACAAAAATGTCAGCATATATATCATAAAAATATTTCTATAATAAAATAAAAACAAAGATCTGGTACATTTTAGACTGTGAGTTATAGCTGCGAAGGTATGACAATTGAAGGACATTTTGAATTGTCTAAATAATAACTTACAGACTGAAGTACACTAGTGACAAAACATTTTCATCAAACAAAATCTATAGTATTTTGAGTAACAAAACTGCTCAAATATACCTCTAAACTGAGTTTAAGTAAGGAAATATTGTATTAAATAAACTGTGGAAATGAGATATCATAATGGTACATTTTTCCAAAAAATAAAGATTAAATAAACAAGACTCATCAAAACATAAATGATGTATTAAAATTTTGCTAGTGAATTCATATTTTTTTTATTCTTCAATAACAGTGTAATGTAAAACCTAAGCATACAGGCAAAGAAACAGCATATATGTAGAAGAAGAAACAGAATTAGAATAAAGACATTGCTTTAAACTGAACATATTACACAAAATATGTCTATAATGCAACTAACAAGCTAAATATGATGTGTAATCTGGCTGTATATGACGGATCTCAAACAGATAAACCCTACAAAGTTTCATTATTTATATAGTTGTGCTAGTACACAAGTAGCTTTTTTTGGGTGAAAGCAAAACACTCATAATACAGATAAGTAGAGTCGAGAGACTAATCAACATTGGAGACTCCTGAATAGTAGTGCCTAACTTCTTTCATGCCAGAAGGTCACATTTTCAAACAAACTTAACACTAGTTTTCTCAAACAACAGGAGTAAAGATCAATAGTTTGTTTTGAATTTCGCGCAGTTACACAAGGGCCATCTGTGCTAACCATCTCTGATTTAGAAGTGTAAGACTAGAGGAAAGGCAGCTAGTCATCGCCACCCAACGCCAAATCTTGGGCTACTCTTTTACCAACAAATAGTGGGATTGACCGTCACATTATAATGCCCCCATGGCTGAAAGTGCAGGCATGTTTGGCGTGACGGGGATCTGAACCAACGACCCACAGATTGCAAATCGAGCGGCCTAACCACCTGGTCATGCCGGGCCAAGATCAATAGAAAATTCCATGACATCTACTCATCTTGCTATACAAAGTTCTTGTACTTGCATGTGCCACATCCAATGCACTTCAAATACCAGATATGACAGTAGTACTTTTATTCACAAAAATACAAATTGCAAATAAATCTGTTCATTTCTTCTAAGTAAAAGTTTTTATTTTTGTCTTTCAAACAAAGCAAAACACAATTATTTTAAGGTAAGTTACTTCAACTGTGAGTAGAGTTTAGAGTTCCGCAGTATGAACTTTACCTTATATTCTAAAGTTTGCTTGCTTCGTTCATAGTAGCCAACTTTCTGACGCAGGATCTCAGTTGTGTGTTCTGCACTTGACAACTTGCCCTCCAAGCTCCGAACTTGTTGTACTCGAGCCTCCAGTTCCATCTTTAATATTTCAATTTCCTAAACCAAATATTAGAGTGAACCTTCAACCCTTTATTGACTTTTGTTCATAATTTAATCTCTGAAAAAAAATTTTTACTCTCTCTCTCTCTCTCTTATTTTTATGCTACAACTCTAACACAATAACTTAAAGTTTATAAATACAGCTTCTAACCTTCCAGCAAAAATTTCGTAACATGTATAGATAATAACAAGGAGAAATTAAAATTTACATAAAACTTCATGTCTGGAAGAAAAAAAAATTAAAGCAACAATTAAAGTCTAATGACACTGTTTTATTTTATAAAGTTGAAAATCGAAATTGAAATCAAAGTCCGACCATGTCTTCTAATTTTTAATTGTCTCGTACGGAATATGGAGTTGTTACATCATAATTTGTATCTTCACTGGGATTGAAAGATACAAAATAGTAATATTAATAATATTTATAAAGTTTGGTGACGGCTTCAACGGGTGATTAATTACAAGTTTAACACAGTAACAAATTTACTACTTTTCAACAAGGTTTTATCACCATCAAATAGTGATGATGACAACAAAGTTGAACATTTATTATTATGTTATATTTTTAATAGTTTCTTCATTCTCCATTCAAGACAACTCCAAACTATATTAGTCTCAAAGCGAGTTCCTTGTTTATCAAACTACTAATATATATTTTTCTTTCTAGAAATGTTTAGATTATGATTATATTACATTCATTCAACTCGTGTTTTTTTTTTAAGTGCTTGAATTTCCTCTCTTTACACTCAACAGCTGTTCACTTGACATTATTTTTTACATTTTACTATCTTTTTATGCATTTGTATCACTAACTAAACTACATATGGATGTTGGGGAATCCTAACTTCATGCATATTAAATACAAAATGAGATCTATTGTTTTTCAACAATCAGAGAATTTTCTAAGAATATTGTTTTAAGAGCTAAATGTATTTCATCAGTGCAACATATGCTCTCAATATTATATATTATTCTATCCTCATTATGATTTCATCACCGTGTCTGGCCAAGAGCACACAAGTTATGAAACATTTCAACTGTTGCCTTAAAAAGCTAGTCAACAAGTTGTATGACTGTTGACTCTCATAAATTGTCACAGCAGAGCTTTGCAGATGTAGGTTTTTGCAGCACAGTGAAATCACACTAATAACATACAATTTGCCCAAACTTGTAAAATGAATGTGAACATATCTAACTGCATAAGATTTTACCTACTCATAGATAAAGAGTTGCAGAGTCTTATTGCAGAAAAGAACAGCTAGAGTACTTAAAACATAATCACAGGAGCAGTAAGAGTATTCAAGGAACACTGCACTGCAAGGAGGGTGATTACGGATAACAACATCAGAACACTCACCAGTATTCTAGGCAAATTTTATGCTGAAGTTAGACAGGTGTGTATACATTTATTGTAATTTGCGAACATGTAAAGGTACAATCCTTTTTGCCATCTTATATTCAGTGATAAACATATTGAATTAGTGTGGCCCCATTACCAATTAAGATAATTCTTGTATAAATATTATAAACATCTGCACAATGGGCCTCTTCCCTTCATAGCTATGTTATCAGTAGGATGCATATAAACAAATAGGCCTATGAGTTGAAATTACAGTGGTGGTAAATTCATGCTAGAGATAGAATAAAACAATTATTTATTGGTAATTTTGGGCAACAGATCATTTGTTGGCTATCATAAATAGTCAATATTTGTATAATGTGCACCACAAGGATGTCCATATCATGTTCAGTATCACCCAATTTTGCAAAAAGCATACAGTAAATGGCATATTATATAAATATTGATCAGATCGTAAACTCAAATAATTCAGTCTTTTTATTCTACCAATCTCTGATAGCTTAATTAAAAAACTCAATCATAGTGAGATAGAGGGAACTGAAATATTTGAGTTATCAGGTCACCAGCTTTTGTAATTCCTTCATTATTTCAGTGGACAACTAGGCTTAGTTATTCATATTTTCTAGAATTGTATATAATTTTTTCAAGAAGAACCAATAAAAACTTTGATAGAGAGTTGCATTGAAGAAAAATGTGTCAGTCACGTTAACAGCAACACAATTTTTTTTGGTCTGAAAATAATGTTCCTAGTCTCATACTAGCCTTTATCACCAGTCATGCTCATTTTTGGTGACCATGGTTACACATTTTTACCCAATTGTACAATTTCCATTGTGGCAAGTTCATGCTAAATATAAAAAAAATTTCCACAATCCTCCACAATTCATGGATAATAACTTTTAAGGCCCCATTCAAGCAGACCAAAAGCACAGAAACCACTGAAGCTGCACTGGAGAACTTCACAAATGTGTAATCAAATGGGACCACATTGATTTCGGTTTTTTCAGTTATTTGTTCTCATGAAAAGAATCAGTTTTTTGAAGTGAAATGGAAGCTTGTAAGCCCTTTTCAGCTTCTAATCTTTATTGATTTTGTTAAAAGTACCAAGAGATTTTAAAAGCTTAATTGCAATGCCTTTTCCCATCAGAGCATTATATTCATAATTACACCTTTCACTTTTCTCATCATAGCACTGCTCTGAGAAGGCTTAGGATGTAGTTTCAAAGTCCCATGCTGTCTTAAACACTAATTTATTATTTTACATACCCTAGGAATTTAGCACTGGACAAAGCACAGGCTCTCCTTCCTTCAATTGTGTGCATTCCATTTAACATTGTGCTATTCTTAATTCCGGACCGACAAACACAGGGAGGCAACTGGCCGGCAGCAGCCACTTTTACTTTATTATTGTTAATAATTATGTAATTTTTTTTTCATACCAGATACCTAATATAAACACTATGACTTGAATACTGTTCATAAACACTTTGCAGCAAAAGATTTTCCACTTCCATAGAGAACACTGACAGCTCCTAATCATACCAGATACCTAATATAAACACTATGACTTGAATACTGTTATTCCTATTACCACTACACATTGAGGAGTTTAGCACCTGTCTTGGCACAGGCTCTTTTCCTTCCAGTAATCACCACTAACTTTTTCCTTAGTAATTAAATTTCATTTAAATAATATCAATCACTTCCACATATTTTCATACTTGATCCATTTCTATAATTACATATTTTTTCCTCCAGTTGACAAAAGATACCCTTCTTTCAAGTTTTCCTGTTCATAAACACTTTGCAGCAAAAGATTTTCCACTTCCATAGAGAACACTGACAGCTCCTTTCTTAGCCCATTAACATCTCCACCCATATATATGCCAAATGTCTCTTGTGCCTATTTTGTTGTGGTCAAAGCATTGGTATGGTAATGGAAAAAAACCCTTCCAAGGATGATAAGGGGTTATGATATTATGTTCTTTGGCTTTCCATTACTTAACTATCTTGCTCAATGAACATCTTTTCAGATAAGTTTTATATATATATATAGAGGTTGTAAGGCATCACTTAGAAGAGTAAATTAAAAATCTTAATGAATAAATAATTGCTCAATTACAATGTCTGTAAACAGTTCTTTAAATACTAAACAGACTTTAATCATGTAGCATACCTATGTCTAGCTTTACATAATAAGAATCAGCATTTGAATATAATTTTAAATTGAAAAACATTATGGTGATATGATTAAATAATCAAACTGTTTTACTTATTCACAATGCATTATTCATACATTTAAAAAACTATAACCATAACTTATTCATCTTAAAATTAAACTGGAAATATATATGATATGATAACTGGTCTATATTTAATTTTTGACCAACACAGAAAAACAAAAGGACTGAACTAATAAAATAAAATGTGTGTTATTCATGTCATGGTTTTTTTTTTTAGAGCATCCACTTATAATTAGTGAGTAGGAAACAACCATCATTCAGTAGACTAATATACAGTTAGGATTATAAAATGTCTATTCAACATCAGATTTAGCTTTGCTCTTAACAGTTTGTAGTCGCTGAGGTAGTAAAAACTTAGTGACACAAATATCCTTACTCAGCTCTTTGATATTCTTTTTGACTGCTAAATTCATTAATAGATCCAGATATGTGAATAAAAAGAAATAGATCAACAGCTATTTATTCATCATATATACCTTGCATATTCTACTCGTATACCTTCGAAGATATCTTTAGAAATAATGCTTTGTGCAGAACTGTGCATGTTCTTGTGAGGTGCCAACACACACTGTTGTCACATTTGTTCCAAAGTGTGTACGTATCTCTTCACATTTTAACCACAGTATAGTTAGTGAAGATAAAAAATCAAATAACATGATATTTCACACTACAACACATATTCGTGTTACATAACAGGAAAAAATTAATCTCTAAGTTCATCTAGAAGCAAATGTTAGGTCATATTGATATAAAACAAGCACAAGTATAATAAAACTTTAACCCTAAAAGAAAATCAAAATCTCATGATGATAATTTTTCATTAACATTGCTGATAGTTATAACATTATGAGTGTACACTGAACATGAGGGTGATCTCCCCAGTTTAACTTCACTATCACATAACTTTAAATTTGTCAAATGTACAGTGTAAAATTAACCTCAACCATCTAAAAAAAAAAGTAAAAATCTCAAATATAAAATTATGTTCGCAACTACCACATTCTACCACCAGCTTTTTCTTACCTGCTTCATACCAACATTTTCTTTTTCTGTCTCTATTATTTGATTCCTGAAGGCATTTTCTGAAAAGGACATATATATATTAAAAATAATTTAGTAATATAATTAAATTTCAAATAACGTTAATATTTTTGTTAATTTGACTTTAGCACTTCAATATGACTACTTTAGTGTCAGTAAAAAATTTTTTTTTTGCTTTTCTACATTCAGAAAGTAAAGATTATTACAAAGTCAATACAATTTTATGTAATGTTCTAGCATGTAACTATTGCTATCAAAATAAGTTGACTGAAGAAATTATGCATAGAAATTTTCTGTGGTCAACAAACTTATTATGAATAAATTAAGTGAAATGAGCATAAATCACACTTACAACTGTTAATCATATTTCAATGACTTTTGATTATTCAGCTTTTTCTTCAAGAGTTTCACTCAGTCAAAGTATGAGACAATCTTTAGCATAACAATCGTCATTATTAAAATTGTTTACCTTCTAGCAAAGCTTGTCTTACATGGTAAAAGAGAATGTAGTTGTTATCCCTAATATTAAATAATGTGACAATGACCAAAAGTTACTACTAGAGCTGGGGGATTAGCAATATTAACTAATCGATAGTCCCATTAATTGATTATATTCATCTAATTGATCAGTATATTGTTCCCCAAACCATGATACATATAATAAAAGGGGGGTTGGCAGTGAGTGCTGCTAGACAGTTGTCTTCCCTCTAGTCATCAGTTCAAAATTTGTGAGTGGCAGATAGCTTCTGTAGTTTAACTTGCCTTCCATAACAATGACAGAATGAGTAATATTTGATTACTTAGATACAGATTATTATTATTTTCAGTTATTCCAACAAACTCTAATTTTGGTTATTGACTTAATCATAATTTTGATTAATCAATTACAAGACACTAATCAATATAATCACTGCTAATAGGTTATTGATTATAAAATTAATTTTGATTAATCAATTACAAGACACTGATCAATATAATCACTGCTAATAGGTTATTGATTATAACATTAATTTTAATTAATCAATTACAAGACACTAATCAATATAATCACTGCTAATAGGTTATTGATTATAACATTAATCAATTAAGTTGTCCAGATCTAGCTACCACACCATAAATAAAAATTAATTCCATTCTACATACGTTTATTAGCTAGGTCACTTAACAAGGTTTCTCGACGAGATTTTCTATCAATCAAGACTTGGATAATACTCTCAAAGGATTCCTCATCATCATAGTTCTGAATCAAAAATATGTAATCATATAAGCCTTATGAATTTACATGTAATATCGAACTTGTAACTTGATAATTATAGTACTCTTCTTAAAAATAAAAATATCATAATAAAGCAAGGGAACTGAGACTGTATGATACATTGCTTGCATTTGTTATATCTATATTATAAACACGCTTCAGTTTGGTGAAACTATAGGTTGTATTAACTTCTTGATGTTTTGTTTCTTTCATCTATTGGGAATGAAAGAAATCCTTCACAATTAAAAAAATTCTTGAAAGATATTACCATTACTAATCATTACTGGAAATTTACCAGCTCTTGGAATATTTGCTAGAAGAAGAAGAAATAACAAAAGTTTAATATATGCTTCTTAAAGATTAAGACCTCAGTAATTTATTTTTCAGTCACAATTAAGACAGTTTTACACATTCAGGTAAAATTCTTCGGGAGATTTGCTTGTTGTTAAGCTCAAACCTAAACAATGGGCTATCATATATAACATAGAACTGAAACTTCTAACTAATAGCAGAAAACAGTGGCTTAACTACCATGCAGCAGAAAGTGCAACATGGGGCAGGGGGACCATAGTTATGCCACTGGCAGAAATGTGGTTAGAACTATAAAAGTTGCTTTACTAGAATGAGTTTAACAAACTATTGGCATTAACTTTAGCAGTTTTTATGAAATTACCCGACTTCTTCAGTCACCAGTTAATGTACTTTTCCGTTAGTTTCTTTATATAAAAGCATTCACACAAGTAAACTGATATAAGGAGAGAGAAAACATCAAAGTTCTTAGTTTGAAGTACCAACTGGTAGTAGATTATACAGAAGCAATAACACAAGAAAAGTTACTGTGTCCAATTTACACCAGGAATCAACACAGATAAAATTTCTTGTGATCCAAGTGTACAATTAAAGCAAGAAATGTATTGACCAATATTTTTCAATAGCTTCTAGTTACATTGATGTTAACAAAATAAACTTTATTTACATAGAAAAAAAAATAAATGATGTAATACATTTGTTTCTGATAAATCAAATAATTGAAAGAATGAAGCACGTCTAAATCCAAATGTTTGGTATCTTTACATTAGCAACAAATTAATACAAATAAGAAAGCATGAAAAGACTTGCAGTTTTCTCATTTTCGTATAAAATAAAAAGACCTCACTACTGAAAGCCTAGAACATGTTTCAACATTACAATGAACAGTTATCTCATACATATATTTTAAATTCATCTCTCATATTTTATGCGATAAGGAGTAGATTAGTAAAAAGACATCATACATAGGATCTATGACACAACTATTATCAATTTAGTTCAGTTTACTAAGATTAAATTATTGAAAAATGATCTAAAAATATTAATGATAACAGAGTCAGAGAAGAAATAGAATATAACACACCATTATGTCTGGGAAAGGTGGGCCAAGACTATATACACCTGGAGCTAAAAGTTCTTGTAGGTTTCCTAAAAGGAAAAATATAAACACAGCCCTTGGCAAAAATGTATATACACTTTTACAGTTAATTTCAATGAAATTAATTTTAATCATTTCAAAAACAAAACTAAATGATTATTGATTTTAAAAAAATGTGATTCTGATTAGTTCTGATATTACAAAATAATGCACATGTACTACCTGCAAATAATTCTTATTTTCTGAGTTTGATAAATTCTAAAATCAAAAATAAATATGTGAATATAAAAAATTACAATTAATGCATGAAATTTTTTGTTCATGTTCTTTATTTTATCACAGCAGCTCTTGACTAAATTTCGTAGTACTGTTACAAAATCTTGTGATATTCTATCTAACACAAATTTAATAACATCACAAAAAATATATATATATATATATATATATATATATATAGAAATAGTAGGAAAATATATATGTGTGTGTGTGTGTGTGTAGTAAGTACGGTAACGTAAAAT